GGGTTTTTGTGTGTGCGTATGTAGTTCAAGCCTGCAAGATAATGACACCTGTTTGTGTTCCTCACAGTTGAAAGAACTGTGCAGGTTGCCCATCAGCTTCTGAGCCAGGTTCAGTCCTGTCAGTTGGGGGGAGGGCAGTAAAATCACTGAGAACTTTGTGTCTGGTTGCTGCCCGGAGAGGTTCCAGAGGACAGAGGGTCATGTTCTCGCTGTGCTTCTTGAACTTCCTAAAGTGCCCTCAGTCTTGATCATTGGAAATCACCTGGGCTTTTAGTTTCTACTAGCTGATAACTTGATGTTGTCCGGATGTTAATTTATAGGGGGGAAATGTCCGGACCAAACGTAATTTCTAATGTTGGATTTTCCCTCTTACCAGAGGGAACCCCCTGGTGGAGTATTGTGAAGCTGTTACCATGGCAGCCCTACTGTGCTGTACAGTAGAATCCATTTAACGGCAATACAGTATAATTCATTTTAAGGCACAACAGGCTGTATCTTAACAAAACACACACCCTGAGGGGTTTTAGGGGTGTCTTACCATATATAGTGTTGTATTGAAATAACTTCTCTCCTACAGTGTAGCATATAAATTAGTGAAAAATTAAAAAAGTGAATGTAACTGGTGATGCCCAGAAACCCGCAGGATAGCAGGGATTTCGCCCTCTCATGTTGGTGCTACCTTTGCTGCAGCAAAGAAGGAAGCAGTTCAGGGGGTCTCCAATACTTGGCCAGTCAGGCAGACTCCTGAATTGAGCCTTTTGTTTTCCAGGTGGAACGGTTAACCAAAGAATTCTCCGTCTACATGACCAAGGATGGCCGCATCTCCGTTGCAGGCCTCACCTCGGGCAATGTGGCTTACCTGGCTCACGCCATCCACCAGGTGTCCAAGTGAACAGGGAGGATTGTCCGGATGGCTTCGTACTCTGGCTAGGCGGGGAAGGGGGAGAGTTGGAGGAGCAGCAGCACATAGCACAAGCATTTCCCTCCCTTTTCATCATCTGTCACTTGGCTGTGTTCGTTGCCCCCACCCCTTTCATCACTTGAGGTGACTTCCGGTCGTGTGTGCAAACACTCCGGCATCCTGAGCTGGGCTAGGAAACTCTCTGCCTCTTTGCGGGGGTAGCCTTCCCCAGGACTACAGCTCCCATAAATAGCCAGCCTAATTTTCAAGTGTGCCCTGTTCAGTCTGCCTGCTTGGAGTGGACGTTCTTCTCCCAAACTCTGTGCCCAGGGATTCAAAGCAAGCTCTGAAGGGAAAGTGGCTTTTTTATTGCTAGAAAAAGTTCTAATTTGTTCCTATGACAGGAATATAAGCCTTTTTTTTCATTTCCCAAAAGAAAGCAAGTTAGCACAGTTTTTTAAATGATTCACTGACAGGTATAATTCTGAATGCCTTTCCTTTCCTTTGAGGTCTTTGAGAAACCCTCGTGTGTCCCATGTCCAGGATGGGATGCTTGTGTGGAAAGCTTTCCTCCTGGGGTAAAGCTTGGCAACATTGGCATATGTTGTGGCTCTTTAAAAACACAACTTGCCAGTGTTGATTTTTCTCAGCTGCTCAGCTCACCAAGAAAATACTTTCTCTTATTCAAAAATTTTTTTAGTGCTGCTTCAGTTCTGGTAGAGATAGTTGCTCAAAGGTGTGTGGCAGAACATCCACAGAAATGGAACATCGCATGCATTAAGTAGGACAGAAGTTGCAAAACTGACCCCCCCCCCTGCAATCCTGGCACTGCAACCCCTCTTTTGTGTTGTGAACACTGTTATGATGGAGCCCTGAATCTTCTCATGGAAGTCTTAAGAACATCTGAATGCTCCCCCCTCCCCCATTTGAAAGCAGAGGGCAGGAGAAAGCTGCCATCAGTTGTCAACCAACGAGCTTTACTAGTTGCGCACCTGTCCTGTGCCAGGTTGATGCCAGGGTGCTCGGTCTCCCAGGTCTCCCCAGCTGCACCGTCTGTCCCTTCAGAACCCCAAGTGGGTAGAAGCATTCTGGGAAACCTGCACAGCTGCAGCCATTAAATGCCTCCCAGGGTTCATGCATCCTGTGACGCCTCTTCGGGAACCGATCAGTGGAAGAGCAAAGCCGCTGAAAGAGACACAGGTGCTGTGGCTGCTGAGAAATCCCAGCATCCCCATCCTGAGAGCTTGTGGACAACCTGCCTCTTGTGCAGCTGCTGGGCTTCAGCCGGCCCTCTGTGAAGCCGCCAGTCTCTGCCTTCCTCTCCCCCCCCCCTTTAATAAAGCTGCTGTACATCACACCTTGGTCTGGGAGTCTTTAGGGCCCCCCTGGTCGCTGGCCTGGGGCCCTGCACGGTGGGCGGAGCTTGTTGGGGAAGTGACATCCATCTTGGACACCAGGAGAGAAGATGCCGGGCTCAGCTGGGCCTTGGCTCCACCAGGGAGGCCTGGGAGCTCCCTTGGGGCCTCTTTTGGCTGAATCGCCCCTGCCCTGCAGAGAGCAACTTGGCCAGACACCTCCTTAAGAGCCCTGTGCCTGGGCTGCTTTAAAGGGGGCCCGACCGGTGGCCTTTGGGTGCCCCTTGCTCTGAAGCCCCCATGGAGTCTCGGCGCTTCCTGCTTTAATAAATCCCCCCAAATTTCCGGCGTTGCGCAACGTGCGGGACCATAACGATCGTCGGGGGGGAGGGGGGCTGGAGCAGGCCGCGGGCTCTCCTTCCCAAGCGGGGCTTCATCGCAGCCGGGCTGAAGGGCAGGAAAGTGTCCAGGAAATCATCCAGGCCACCTCAAGGGGGCGGGCGGGGCGGCAAAAGAGGGAGGGAGCGGCTTCCTTTTCCCGGCGGGCAGGCGAGGGTCGCGGCCGGGAGAGCGTCGGGCGGGGAGGCGCTTGGCCGCTCCCGGACTTCGCCCCGATCTGGGAGGTCCGGCCGCGTCGCCCGGGGGGTCTCTTGCCAGATTCCCGCCCCGGATCTGGCTTGGGGACCGGCGGGTGTCCGTCTCCTCCCTATCCCGAGCGGCGCGGTGAGGCTCGGGGCGCGTTGGGCGGCTGGGCGAGGGGAGTCGGGCCGTGTGAGGCGGCCCCGCGATCTACCAGGCTGCCTTGCCGGCGAGAGCCCGCCAGGCCCTTGCCGAGCCGCCCGGTGCGGGCCTGTCCCGAGAGGGGCCTCTTCCCGGCCTCCGCGCAGGGCAGGAGCCTTCCGGGCGATGCCGGCTCAGGCCTGGGGGCGGCTGTGTGGCCTGGCGAGGAGGGGGCTTGGCTGGGCCTGCAGCGCCCGCGAAGGGCATCCAGGGCGGTGGGCTCCGTGCCGCCCCCCTGAAGGCCCCCCTGGAGCTCTTGCCCTGCCCGCCCTCTTTGCAGGCTCCCCTGCCGGCTCTTCACGCCCAAGAGCTGATTTGGGGGGCAGTTTTGGGGAGGAAAGTCTGGGGGGGGGTGTCTAAGAAGCTGGGAGGGGGGACTGATGTCGCCTGGCTTTTCTTCCTAGAGGTTCTGCTGCTGTTGCCCTGCAAGGACCCCCCCACTCACCCACCCTTTGGTCCCAAGGGATGTGTGGCTTGGCTCCTGGGATAAGCTGGCTTCCAGGAGAAGATGACTCAGAGCCACGTGGGCATCAACAGGGACTATGGCGACTGGGAGTGGAGCGCCGACGCGGGCGAGCGGGCCAGGCTGCTGCAGAGCCCCAGTGTGGAGGAGCGCCGGCCTGCCACCACCTCCATGCTGGGCGCCGTCTTCATTGTTGTCAACGCCGCGCTGGGTGCGGGCCTGCTTAACTTCCCGGCGGCCTTCCAGATGGCCGGTGGAGTGGGAGCTGGAATCGCCATGCAGATGGTGAAGGGCCCTTCTTGGTGCTGCTGGGCCAGGGCATGGGTCACGGGCTGGGCTGGGCCTTGGGGCCAACGGGTGCCCCTCAAATAGACTTGTCCTTGCGGAAGGGAGCTGGCCCAGGGCCTCCCGCTGCCTTCCTTTGCTGGCCAGGGCTTATTGCCAGCCTGAGTGTTCCTGAGGAGGAGGAGAAGGGTGGTTCTGTTAGCCAGGCACAAGCACAAGGGCAAGTGCTGACTCCCTCCATGAATGCTCTTTGGGGTCCCAAAGGGCCTGGCCAGAGAGCCTGCAGGCAGCCCCCACTTACAGGCCAGAGAGCTTGTCCTGTTGGGTGTGGGTTGCCTACACCCCCCACCCTGCTTTGCTGCAATAGCAATAACACTTAAGAGTTATATGGCGCTTTCCAGCCTCTCTAAGAGGTTTACAGAGTCAGCATATTTCCCCAACAAGCTGTGTCCTCATTTTACCCACCTCTGGAAGGATGGAAGGCTGAGTCAGCCTTGAGCCTGCAAAGATTCAAATTGTCAGCAGTCAGCAAGAAGTAGCCTGCAGGACTGCTGCACCACTCTGTGTGTGTGTGTGTGTGTGTGTGTGTGTTGCATGGGCTGTTCTACCTGGTGCCCCTCCCTCCCACCTAACGCTGCCCTTCCTTGCCTCCTTTGCAGGGGCTGCTGCTTTTCATTATTGGAGGACTGGTCATCCTGGCCTACTGCTCCCAGGCCAGTAACGAACGCACTTACCAGGAAGTGGTGTGGGCTGTCTGTGGCCGAGTCCTGGGCGTGCTGTGTGAGGTGGCCATCGTGGTCTACACCTTTGGCACCTGCATTGCCTTCCTCATTATCATCGGGGATCAGCAGGACAAGAGTGAGTCTGGCAGTGGATGCCCTGGGCTGCTTTCCCCAGACTTCTCCCAGGTCTCGTCTTCGGCGACGTCTTTGTTTTGGGCAGCCCACTTTGAACTCCAGACGTAACCAAACGGCCGACCCCCATTTTTCACCCTCCCCTCTAAGGCCGGTGACTTCCTGCCCAGCACTCTCGTCTTCCACGTCTAGAATTTGTCCGCGGTTTCTCTGAGGGAGCATTGCCATCCTGTAGTCCCCTGGTGTTGGCACAAGCCCTTTTCTCAGCACTCATCCTGCTAATTCGGTGGATTGGGCCCTTGGATGCCAATTGTCTCTTTCTGTGTTTCCGGAAGTAATTCCAGTGCTGATAAAGAGCTGCGCCAGAGAAGGGAAGAGCTGCTGGTTCACGGATCGCAAATTCACAATCAGCCTGACGGCCATTCTCTTCATCCTCCCCCTGTCCATCCCCAAAGAAATTGGCTTCCAGAAATACGCCAGGTACCTTTTGGTGGGGGGGGTTGCCACTCGTGTCCATCTCCCCCAAAGGGGCCAACCCCCACAGGTGTTGACTCGGGGGGGCTTTTTTTCCTGCCCATTCGTAGCTGTGTCAGGTCCAAGAACTCTGGTTTTCCAGCTGCTGCTGCCACTTAGGTGCTGGTCTTTGGCGAGGTGGTTGCCTGTCTTCACCCCTTTCACTCCACCCCCAGCCACAAACTTGCTTTCAGTTCTGTTCTATAGGACAAAGACCAATTTTAACCCTTAACTTTCACAGCAGCAAAAGTCTGGATCCCAGGAGGGAAAATCCTATGTTTTCACCCTTAATGCTTTCCACAGGGTTGTTCTTCTCCAGGCCGGCAGCTGCTCTTCGCCATCCCTTCCACCAACTGGGTTTTTAGAGCACCCTTCCCTATGCTCTATTAAAATCATGTTTAACTTGATTGTTTGGTCTAGTGGTTAAGGCACTGGGCTAGAAAGGGGGAGACTGTGGGTTCTAGTCCCACCTTAGTCATGAAAACTAGCTGGTTTTTCTCTTAGTCCAACCCACCTCACAGGAGTCGTTGTTGGGGTTGTTGGACAAAGAGGAGGAGGAAGATGTGTTGGATGTGTCCCATCGTCTTGAGTTAATTGTAAAAGTAATAAAGGTGGGATAAAAATAAGTAAATAATCTTAAAGATGAGAGCAGTTGCATAAAGAAGCAGTATTATTTTTAAACATATATGTTAATAAACAATATCAGGTAAGCGTATTAACATAAATCCAAGGCACATAAAAAAAGAAAGAAAAAAGAAAAAAAATAGGAGATACAAGAGATGCTGACTGCAAGGAGCCTAGACAGGCCCTGTCGTAAGCATTTGTCATCTGTCTAAAGTATAGCAGAGTACAATAAAACTAACATCTGTCCAAATTTGATAAACGTGATTCCTGTCTCTGATGTCTCATTAATTTTAACTTTGTGGATTTATTTTGTAACGTAGCACTTAAAGACACCTAGTTAATTCACAACTCTGTTATGTTAGCTTGAGTTTTCCAATGTTGGGCAATTATTGTGGCTGATGAATAAAGAATGCTCTCTTTATTTTTAAGCATAGAGTTTAGTCCTATAAATGCATTCCGTAGGGCTGGCTCTGGGGAGGATGTAATTCTTGGATTACTAGTAGCACTTATCTCCCCAAAGATTTCACACCCAAAGGGTATAATTTTATCATAAATGAAAGACTAACCCTTTTGCTTTGATCACCTCTTGAACATTTGAAAGAATAATTTTGATATATTTAATACAATAATACAATAGCAGAGTTGGAAGGGACCTTGGAGGTATTCTAGTCCAATCCCCTGCCTAGGCAGGAAACCCTATACCGTTTCAGACAGATGGCTAACCAACATCTTCTTAAAGACTTCCAGTGTTGGGGCATTCACAACTTCTG